ACGATAATCGTACCATACTATCTAATCAACGAACAGAGACCAAACAATGATCAATCCTGAAATATCAAATTTCTTCTTCTATTCTGTTATGAAATATTCAATATGTGGAATAACCTTGAACAATATGGCGCGAATGTCCTTCGAAAAATATACGCACTTTCGTTTTTGACACGTCGATCATAGAGAATATATAGTGACAAAAATAATCGTGTACAAGCGATTGGTGCTCTCTAAAAAAAGTAGGAGTCATAAGAAACCATTACAAGTTTTATGGAAGATACTGAACTTTTTAAAGGCTTCATTCGTTTTCCTACTAAATAATCAGAAGTTCTAGATAATTTTAAGAGTCATTTCAAGTGTTTAGAAGAGTTTTATCTCGCACTCCTATACATAGTTTTACTTAATCAACAATATTAATTAAAAACCGACGTCAAATACCATTCAATTTGTTTTGTTTTTGCAAACTTAGCTTTCCGTAGTCGAATAATAAAACTTTCAGAACGTTACAATTTACGTTTATCTCAACTATCAGCAGAATGGTAATTTTTATCTTATAAAATAAATGATTTTTGTCTCTATTGAAAATTTTCTGAACAGCAAAGAGAGACAATACGCTAACAAAAGAAGTATTATTTTGGTTCTTGATGTGAATGTGAGATAAAAAGACCAACCTCACCAATATCTAGACCCTTGTTTTGATTTCAATTCGTGTATATGATTCAAGGATCTTCTATGGACTTTTTTTATGAAAAAATGAAGCTACATAAATGCTAAGAAAGCTAAACATTGATAGACTTATTTCGGTACTCTTCCTATTTTTGGTTGCTTCAAATCTTGAAATGATTCTCTTTTGATTTTGATGAATAACAATCAAATAATGCTCTGACTTTCTCTTGTTTCTGATGTGATTTAGCAATGGCGTCCACGTGGCGTTGAGTAATAAAATAATTGATCAATTCTGTTCTTCTCATTGCCATCGTGCATATAGTTTGTATATCGTTCATTTTTGGTTTTTCACATTTGTTGATATACAGCTTTTTGTTATTTTTCTAAATAGATAAATGCTGTTTTCAATGTGAGAGAGACCATGAATATTAGTAAATATTTTGCAAACAATAAAAATTATGTCAAAAAGTTGAGTACCGTTGAACAGAAAACAAGATGATGATTTGTCGAATATACTGACCAAATGAATATCCAACTCAACACAAGAACGTTCGATAATATTGAACGAATGATGTGTCAAATTGAAGAGAAGCAGAAAATAAAACTATAATATTTCGCGTTTACTTTTGAACTTGAACTCATATTGTTACGTTGAAAAAGATCGCTATTGTTGAGGTCTCGTCGGTACAACGAAAAATCAGATACTGTGTGTACTTCTCATATCTGTTCCTTCTACAATTCAAGCATGAATATATGTTGCTGAAAAGTCGATTTAGTAGTGTTACTATACACTTCTCTATTATTGCTTGTCTTATTGACGTAATCTGTCTCGAAATTCATAGCATATTTAGTTTCAATGTTCTTTTTATAGTTAAATGTGAGCAATGTAGAATATATGACTATGCTAGAGTCATCATGATATAAATTTATGATGCATGAGAAAAGATAAGAACAAAAAGGAAAAAAAACAGAAGAAATGGTTGTAGTGTATAGTGTGGCTTTTTTTTATCAGCAGCATGGCAACAGCGACGGCAACTCAAATCGATCTTTCTCATGAAGAATCGCTTCAAGCGGTTTTACGTTTTTTGGTGAGTCTTTTATCTTTCGGCCTTGCCTCTAAACAGAGTTTCACTACTTCTAGGAAGCACGTTTACCAGAAACACGTCAAGTATGGTCCTTACTCAGTTATATTCGGCAAGGTTTGGTCGATCGAAAATATTTCTGGCCACATCAATTATTTGTCGATGATCGAAACTATATCAAATGTATTATTTTCGTATATTCTACTGTTGGTTTTACAACTGATCATAATCTGCTCGATGACGACATGGCAGTAAGTTCAAGAAATGTAACATTTGTTGCTGATGAAGAAAGCAATGAAGTACTTATAACTTTACTTGAACAATGTGTGCCATGGTTCAAGATAAAAACAATCTTCTTTTGTGATATTGCCCATCGATTTTTGACAACTATTGAAAATATCATCCGAGAGAAAAGTCTTCTTGGTGATTTAAAAATATTTCCTTGTTTGCAAATGGAACTCGATCAGAAAACATTAGAAGAAACAAAGAAACAAATTGTGCAACAGTTGCCATCAGGTAAAACAATGCCATTCGAAAGAATAAATACATGTTTGCGATACAAAAACGCTTAGGCATTGTCATTCAACGTTTGCCAATATCCGATGCAGCATTGATCGACGATTTTTCAATATATAAATCCAAGTTTTCCCTTGCTCAAATTAAATATCAAATTGAACATCTGCCAGCTTTTGGTAAGTCTGAAGTAATAAAGAACCGAAATTGAAATGTCATAACATATATTCTCTTTATTTTTTCATAGGTGCATATTGTCAAGGACAACTGGTGAGTTGGTGTTTGACACAATTCGATGGTTCTTTTGGCATGGTATTCACAATACCAGAATTTCGTCGATTCGGTCTCGCAACATTGTTAAACATTAATTTGGCCTCGGAGTTGTTTAAAGTACAAGAACGTGTTTTCTGCTTTGTGATACGTGAAAATGAGGCTTCTTGTAAGATGCTCGAAAAATTGGGTTATCACCAAACATGTGCTGTTGACTGGATTAATTTGACATCGAAATAAAGACTAAAAAAGAACAAGAATAAAAATGTTTGGCTGCGCGATCTCTCGTTTGAGATAGAATGTAGAACGTCTGAGATAGATTATCTGTGAGTGAAAAACGCTATCCATGATTGTACTCTATAAGTAGAGGAGAACCAGTGGCGGCGGAGTCATTAGGCTTGGGGAGGCTTGCGGAGGCTCATATTTTGAAAAAAAATCACAGATCTTAGCATGGATTTATATTTAGTATGCGAAAATTCTTTGAACAATAGTATGTTCAACTTCATATTAGATAGCACGATAAGCGGCACACCAATTGCGTTTAAGAAAGCTCAAGTCTTAGTGAAAAACCAAGAAGGACATCTGANTTGTGAGAACGGACAATTGTGTGTAAGACAATTGTGTGTATGGACAATTGTGTGTAAGACAATTGTGTGCAAAATGAATGTGTGCCATGTATAAATAAATATTTTAGTCAAAAAAGTGAATGACAATGAACAAAACAAAGTAGACAAAATAACAAAAAAAAATCAAGATAAACTAATCAGTAAAGAATTATAACATGAATGTATGAGCAATCGCTTTTATTTTCTGTGTATTGTCATTTGTAGGATTATCTAAAATCCGTAAAATTCTCGATGCTGTGTTTTGAGTTTTGATTCTCTTTGTTTTTGGTATGAGACCTGTTAATAGTTGAGAAATTTCACCGTCTACATATGATTGCTCTGTTTGAAGGTCGCTTAAAAAACGCCAAAATCCAGGATGGGCTGAATCCACAATATTGTTAAGACGTCGATGCCATCCTTCGACGGCGTTGTTGGTATGGTCGAATTGGTTTCTTAACGTATTGTGTAAGTTCCAAAATGTGATAGGAAACGTTGGAATTGTCCTTCGGTTGCGACTTCGAAATCGACCAATATAATAATCTTCGAAATAATTGCAAAGTGGATCTAGATCTGGAATTTGTAGATCAGCAATATCTTCAAATGTTGAACAAATATCATTGGTTTCCAAAAAAGCTAATGCTGGAAGCATGCGTACGGCGTGTGCATATTCTTCATCGTTCCCATATTTAGTTGTAAAACCTGCTTGTTGAACTTGTCGATAAATGTTTTGTGTTAAGTGAAAGAAACAGCCGTTAACGTTTGATTGAGGCCAGCAGGAACGAATAGCATTCATTGCTCCTTTTTCGAAATCGATAAGAACTGAACTAGGATTGAATAATGGTCTTAATGAAATAATAGTATCATAAATTCTTTTATAATCTTCTTCGGTCTTACGTGACATAAGAATATAAGCCATTGGAATGATACTTCCCTGAACTGAACCGTGGATTGAGTACAATTGGTAAAAAAGTTCAGGGACGACCTTAAATGTGCCATCCATATACACGTCTGTAGATGATTGAAGAAGATCAAGTTGTTGATTCGTCGCAAATATTAAAAATCGATTCGAATCTTGATTTCCTGAGTCGTATTGTAAAAACTGGTCTTTTTTCTTTGTGAGAGTAAACGAACCGGTTATTTGAATTTCTGACATTGATCGAGGATTTGCTGGAAAATTTAGATTTGCAGCACGTTGTCGACAGACGGCACGCTTCAAGTTGTTGATCGGTGGAAGCTGGCTTAGCACTGCAGTAGATGCTGTGGCAATTGATGTGGCAATAATAGAATGTGTCGTGATTGTTGTTTTAGAAAGATTACGAATTTCAGAACGACATTGACGAATTCCACTTATACTTGGATTTGGAGCATGATTGTGGTCGCCAACTCGATGACAAATCGTGTTATTAGTTGTATGCAATCTAGCTTTACACTTCTGTTTGTTGCATTGTGTACATCGCCAATATACTTTATTTTCATGAGTACGTTCTTCAATATAATCAAAACCGTTCTCAATCAGAACTGGCTTGCCTTTTTCAGTTGTAGAAAATAAAATTGACATGATGTGTTCGTACTTTAAATGTGATCTATATGATGGTGAATTTTGAATGATTGTAAATGGATAACGTCTTCTTATTCTCACTCGTTTAAATACTTTCAAAGAAAATTGATCATTGTCAGACTCTCTTTCTTTAGTATTAATCAATACAAATAAAATTAATCGACGTGTATGCACATGACCGTCTGTTCTCATAATTGTCTTACACACAATTGTCCATACACACAATTGTCTTACACACAATTGTCCGTTCTCACAATTGTCTATGCGCACAATTGTCTGCACACAATTGTCGTACACACAATTGTCCTACACACAATCGTCATAGACCCNGCAAAGTGGATCTAGATCTGGAATTTGTAGATCAGCAATATCTTCAAATGTTGAACAAATATCATTGGTTTCCAAAAAAGCTAATGCTGGAAGCATGCGTACTGCATGTGCATATTCTTCATCGTTCCCATATTTAGTTGTAAAACCTGCTTTTTGAACTTGTCGATAGATGTTTTGTGTCAAGTGGAAGAAACAAGCATGAACACTAGATTGAGGCCAACAGGAATTGATAGCTTTCATTGCTCCTGATTCAAAATCGATGAGAAATGAACTAGGATTGAACAGTGGCCTTAATGATATAATAGCATCATAAACCCTCTTATAATTTTCTTCATTTTTACGAGGCATAAGAATATAAGCCAATGGAATGATATTTCTTTGTACTGAACCATGGATTGAGTACTATTGGTAAAAAAGTTCGGGAACGACTTTGAATGTGCCATCCATATACACGTCTGGACATGATTGAAGAAGATCAAGTTGTTGGTTCGTCGCAAATATTAAAAATCGATCTGAATCTTGGTTTCCTGAGTCGTATTGTAGAAATTGTTCTTTTTTCTTTGTAAGAGCAAATGAGCCGTTTATATGTATTTCTGATATTGATCGAGGATTTGCTGGAAAATTTAGATTTGCAGCACGTTGTCGACAGATGGTACGTTTGAAGTTATTGATAGGTGGAAGCTGGCTTAACACTGCAGTAGATGCTGTACCAATTGATGTGGCAACAATTGAATGTGTGGCCATTGTTGTTTTAGACAGGTCACGAATTTCAGAACGACATTGACGAATTCCACTTATACTTGGATTTGGAGCATGATTGTGGTCGCCAACTCGATGACAAATCGTGTTATTAGTTGTATGCAATCTAGCTTTACATTTCTGTTTGTTGCATTGTGTACATCGCCAATATACTTTATTTTCATGAGTACGTTCTTGAATATAATCAAAACCGTTCTCAATCAGAACTGGCTTGCCTTTTTCAGTTGTAGAAAATAAAATTGACATGATGTGTTCGTACTTTCAATGTGATCTATATGATGGCGAATTTTGAATGAGTGTAAATGGACAGCATCCTCTTATTCTCACTCGTTTAAATACTTTCAAGGACAATTGATCATTGTCAGACTCTCTTTCTTTAGTATTAGTCAATACAAATAAAATTAATCGACGTGCATGCCCATGACCGTCTATTCTCACAATTGTCTTACACACAATGACCTCCTCTCATAATTGTCTTACACACAACTGTCCGTTCTCATAATTGTCTTACACACAATGATCTCTTCTCATAATTGTCTTACACACAACTATCCGTTCTCATAATTGTCTTTCACACAATTGTCTGCACACAATTGTCTGCACACAATTGTCTTACACACAATCGTCATAGATCCAATTTTTTAGGACGAATTTGCTTTGCGTATAACTATCTCACAAAGTTAGCTTTTGAGGAGCGGCTTGCGCTAAATTTACCTGTAACGCCTATGCTACATCTATAGAAAATTTCAATCTCCAAATTTTGACTCATGGTGAAAATGGGCATATAACAATGAGCAGTAGTCATTTTCTGTTGAACAGGTTTTTTCGGACGATCTTTTCAATTGATTTTTTTTTCACAATTGTTCGAAAGAACTGAAATCATATAAATTGAAAAAGCAAAACATGAGCTACATTTTGATAGCCAAAACTTTCTAAAAGTAAAATATCTATGCAATGAAATGCTTATATTACGATAGACAATTGACGATGTTCATGTGAACTCTTTACCATCTTCATTTAGTGAGTTTTTCTTCGTAAATATAATATTCGAAAGAGCGTCAAGCGCAGCAAGTTTTTAAGAAAGTAACTTCTCAAAACCGAAAAACAATTTTCGTGAAACTTTAAATCGTCTGCTATCTTATGTTGCACTTAACGCTTTTTCGAATATGATATTTACGAAGAAGAAAAACTCACTAAATGAAAATGGTAAAGAGTTTACATGAACATCGTCAATTGTCTATCGTAATACCCATGTAAACACAAAACGCAAAAAATGTGCGTTTGAACGCGTTTTACAAGAAAACTGAATCTAGACGCGGTAGAATACCAATAAAAGCCGCGATTGGACAAAACTTCATATGAACCGCGTCCAAACGCGGTTGAAATAAGACTACAGACGCGTCGGAGCGCGTTTTCGTTTGGAATCGCGTCTCCAGTGAAACATTTCTTGCGTCTAAACGCGATTTTAATTCGAAGCGCGCCTAGACGCGATTTATTAACTTTCGCGTCTGAACACGGTTTTAGTGGGAACCGTCTCTGAACTCAAACAATGTTTCACATGAGCTTAGACGCATTCGATATAGCTCCGATTAAGATACGAACCAAACTCGATTCAGAAACCGGTAAATATAAAACCATATTTGCACAGGTGATTTTATATCCACCAGTAAATATCGATCAAAATCTTCTACGAAATTAATCTAGTGTGAAGAATACCGAGTCTTCAATAATTTTGAAGGTTTTTTTTCTCACCAAACACAGAATAAATGAGTTTTTTACTATATAGAATAACCTACGTGTAAAAAGTCTTGGTACAAAAATTTTCTTTCGTTTTCGATCGCTTATAGTTTGCAAAAGAGAGTAAAAAGTAGTCCACTAGGAAGAGAATTTCATGCTCTTTCTAAATATATATTCAGAATTTTATCATGACTTGAACTTGATTCATTAAGAACAAATATTTGATGGAGATCAAAAACGACGTTTGTACAGATGATTCGCTACAGATCATTTTTGTATTTTGATTGAAAATGCCTCAGT